TCTACATCCAGATTATTTACACATACACATTTGTGTTGTCTCCCTGGAATCTGTCCCAGTTGGTTGTGCTAAATTCTCTTTATACTAGGCTGGGTTTGATGTGTGAGCGTTTATTGGGCTTTTGTGTGAGTGAGTCTGCTGTTGTCTTCTCTCTGTTTGACTTTGTTGGAGGGGTCCTGATGTCAGAAAGAAGTGAAGCGTTCCTGACTTCTGTTACCAGGAACACTGTAGAGTTGCCATCATTCATCTTTCTTAAATGTATTAATGTATTTTTGTTGTTGTTTTTGTTTTTAAGACAGGTTTCCTGTCCTGGAACTAGGTCTTGTAGACCAGGCTGGCCTCGAACTCACAGAGATCGGCCTGCCTCTGCCTCCTGAATGCTGGGATTAAAGGCCTGCGCCACCACCACCTGGCGGCTCCTTAAATGTATTGTATACTGCATAGGTACCCTGACTGGGCCAGATACTGTCTGATTTTGAAAAGTTACCAACTTTTCAAACTTTTATTTGATAAAGGCCTGCCTGTTTAGGCAATTCACTTTTCTTTATGTGGGTTTCATTAGCAGTATTTTTCTGGGTGTGGTGACACACACCCAGCAGAGGCTGAGGCAGAGGCAGGTGTATCTCTGTGAGTTCTAAAACAACCTTTGGAGGAATTTTTCATTTCTTCCTGGTGCCATAATTGTGGGCATTTAGTTATTGCTGTCATACTACTCCTTTATTATCCCTTTAATGCTCTTTATTTCAATAGGATGGTCCCTCTTTCATCTATAATAGTAGCACTTGTATCTTTTCTCTTTTCCCACCTTATTTATGCCTGGGAGATCCTCGTTTATTTTACCAATCTTCCGCTGACCCAGCACCAGTACCTGCAGGTCTTCACTATCAGTGTTAAGATTCTTCAGTCATTGGATCCTTGTGTAGGAGGCTGGGGTTGAGGCCTATTGCATTAAACAATACACTTTGATACAGCAGCTCCCAAACACGTGTTTTGACTGTCGTTTGAAAATGTGATGGAATGGTTCTATTTTGTTCCATAAATACGAGTCTGTATGTGTAAATAATCCAGATGTAGGGAATAAAGATTAGGGTAAGAAGAGGCTGTGTCACTCAGAAGTTTTCAAACCCGTTTCTGTAGACTCCAGAGCGGAGATGCCTTCAGCCACTCCCATCCTGCCCCAGGACTGCAGACAGACGTGTAGCACAGGGCCTTGGCACTGGGCCTTGCTCATGGGTGTGGACTGAAGCTGTGGTTAACAGTCCCTGACAATACAGGGATATTAACTGGTTTTGGTGGTGGGGGGGGAGCTCATACATGTATTTATTACAGTTTTGAAGGTAAGCACCTTCCATGCATAGGGAGAGTCCTGAAACACGGAAATCAAGTGGCATGTGGTTTGGTACAAGTACAGTTTACGTGGAGACTTCTCAGGGATGATCTTAAAACTGGCGGCAAGACCTGAGTATGTCTTCCATTTCTAACTAAGAAAGGAAATATTTTAAGCAGGCGTCATGCTTTTGTATTGATAACATGTCAGTCACCATGGGCCTTTTCAGCTCAATGCCAGGCTCACCACCTCACAAAATGAACTGGGACAGAGCACCTCTATGGCATCCTACAATGACTGTGATATACATATAGGACATAGATGGTGTTGGTCAAGTTTTGCTTAGGAGTTAATGTGATACTTGCATCAGCAGCTCCCAAACACGTGTTTTGACTGTCGTTTGAAAATGTGATGGAATGTTTCTATTTTGTTCCATAAATACGAGTCTGTATGTGTAAATAATCCAGATGTAGGGAATAAAGACGATTTATGTAACTCCTTAATGAGTTCTTACGAGCCTTTAATTAAGCACATAAATCACCAAGAAGCCTTTGGCTGTAGTCGCTTCTTGGATCTGTGGTTGATCTGAACAGCAAAGTGGAGCACGAGCCTTCAGCTTCTTGACGATGCTGCTCACTCCCTGCGTTCACACCTGCTGAAGAGGGGATTGCGTGCAGGGCTCCTGTGCAAAGTCGGGTCTGGGATGTGAGCTGCTCATGAGCTAGGCATAGCTGTTACACTATCTGTACCCCGTCCAAGTCATCATGACCATGGCAAACCTGCTTCCTAGACAGTAGTAATTGTATCTTTCTGTTTGGTTGTGATTTTCACCAAGCAGCTTTTCTGGATCAAATGGCTCACCATCTCAACACTTCTCTTACAAGTCTCCTCCACATCCCTTTGGCTATGTTCAGAACTCATTTGATTATTACTCATGCATCTCTTATAATTAAGTTTGCATTTTCCTGAATTAGTCTCTGTAGTAGGATTCTCTGAAGGGATCAGAACTTACAGAACATACACACATGCACACACACATATACATATGTATATGCATACATACACATATATGTATGTGCATATGATGATTATTCATATACAACATATATAATGTACATTATAAGTATATGAGATCTGTTAGATTGACTTACAGGATGTGGTCTGGGTAATCCAACAATGAATGTATCACAGTGGAAAGGCTGAGAATCTCATTCCATCAATGAGGCTGGATGTCTCTGAAGTTCCAGTCTGGTGCTTGAGTCTAGATGAGTCCTGGAGAGCTGCTGGTTTATAGTCGATGTTGGAATCCTGAAGAAGACAGATTTAATACCATCTCCAGTAGCAGGGAAGATGAACTTGCCAGAGAGAGTGAGGATAAGCAGGCAAAAAACAAAAGCTTCCTTCTATGTCTCTATGTGAGCTGCCAGCAGAAGTTGTGGTCCAGATTCAGGGTGGATCTTCCTGCTTCAGTCTGATTAAGAAAACCCCTCACAGGGGCACCCAGCAGCTTGGGTTTTAGTTGATTCCTATGTAGTCAGACAGACTACTACATTTAGCCATTGCTCTCATAATGCATAGATATTCGCCCCTTTGATTTTCCTTGCAACATCATGCAACTCAACAGTTCTCATTCTCTGGGAATCCTTTTATATTGAAAACATCTGGAAGCGCATTAACTTACAAAAGGGACCCCTCAGTCTATGAAGGGTCTCTCACACTGTATGGCTTCCATTTTGTTGAGGGGGAACTCAAACGCTGGCTTTGTATTCTTAAGACCCTGCTTCCCTACCTACATAAGAACCAAAGTAGAGGCAATCATTAAACTGGACCACAGGTGGAGACAATTAGAGGCAAATATCTTGGCACATAGGAAAACCTTTTGGGATATATTTTATCTCATGGAGAAGTAAGGAAGCTGTAAGTTCAATTTAGGAAAGGTTGTGGCGAGTTGGGGAGCCCTGCCATGTGAACCATCACCTTCTCTTCCCCAGGTCTGGACACAACTCTGTCACTAAACCTTTCCGGAGGTACCAACTGCTCCCACTGCTTTGACCCAGTTCTAGGTCTCTGTGTTTGATATCTAGCATGAACCCTCCTTCCTACCAAAGCTGCTATGCTCTCGTCAGCTCAGATTTTTATCACATTTACACTGACTCAAATATTGGCTGTAAGTTGCTTGTGTGTGTGTGTGTGTGTGTGTGTGTGTGTGTGTGTGCGTGCGTGCATCTTCTGACCAGAACTGTGCTAAACTCACAGAAACTGTTCAGGAAACTACCATTAAGTTAGAGCCCACTTTTTTTAATTTATTTATTTCTTTATTAATTAATTAAAGATTTCTGTCTCTTCCCCACCGCCGCCTCCCCTTTCCCTCCCCCTTCCCCAATCAAGTCCCCCTCTCTCATCAGCCCAAAGAGCAATCAGGGTTCCCTGCCCTGTGGGAAGTCCAAGGACCACCCACCTCCATCCAGGTCTAGTAAGGTGAGCATCCAAACTGCCTAGGCTCCCACAAAGCCAATACGTGCAGTAGGATCAAAAACCCATTGCCATTGTTCTTGGGGTCTCAGTAGTCCTCATTGTCTGCTATGTTCAGCGAGACCGGTTTTAACCCAGGTTTTTTCAGACCCAGGCCAGCTGGCCTTGGTGAGTTCCTGATACTTTTAAATGCTCCTATTGACAGAGTTGCTGCTGCAGAATCAGTCACTACCAGGAGGTCTGTCCCCACCCCCAAAGTCCCTTGATCACTTTCCCCCAAATGGTCTCCTTCAAGCTATCAGCCAATAACACAAAACTCTGTCAGCCTATTTGTGATGTGTGTGTGTGTGTGTGTGTGTGTGTGTGTATGTGTGTATATGTGCGCGTGCGCGCACTTGTGTTCTGTCTTCTATGTAAAGAAGGTCGAAAGAGACTGCTCCAGACTCCACAGGCAGAGTGCACGGTCTTACTGTGCTGCAGTTAGACTGGAGATGAAGCCACTTCTGTAGCTGTAGGAGCAACAGTCTTGTGCTCCCATCCAGCAACTGTGCAGAGATTCTGCTGGCGAAGCTGGGGTGCTGTGCAGTAGGAGATGGATGCTGACCACTATACTGTCATCAGCTTGTCGGAGTGCTGTGAGTGAGACCCTGTCCCCTGAGGGGTTCTAAGGCCTCTCACACCCCTACATGGAGCTAATGCCCATTCTTACATCTTAGGGGAGTGCTCTTAAAAACATAAGAGATAACTGGGTATCTAGCATGTGGCAGACAGGGAGTTCTCTTGCACTCTTGGCGGGACTATACATCAGTGTGGCCATTGTGGAAAGCAGCATAAAGCTTACACAGCAAATTAAAAATAGAGTTACCATGTAACATAATTTCCCAACTTCTGGGAATATACCCAATGGAAATGAAATCAATTTGCTAAAGAGATGTCTGTATTCCATGTTCTTGCAGCATTAGTCACAGAAACCAAGACTGGGGTTAGCCTCAGTGCCCATCAGTAGATGGATGAAGAAGAAATATACTGAGTCTCCAGGAATATCTTGGTGATCTGGCTTTGTGATAGCAGACCCAGTGTGAAAAGCTTGATTCCCCAGGACGGAATAAAAATCAATCTATCTATCTATCTATCTATCTATCTATCTATCTATCTATCTATCTATCTATCTATCTATCTATCTATCTATCTTATCTATCTATCTATCTATCTATCTACCTACCTACCTACCTACCTACCTACCTATCTATCTATACATACATAATAGGTTATAATATGATTTATTCTTAAAATAGAAGTGAATCTTGGCATTTGGAAATGTGTTAAAGCTCAGAGGACAGATCCTACATGGCCTTGCTAATGTGTGTGTGGAGCTTTTTACCTCCACTGTCTTAACCCTGGGTGACACCTTGAACCCAGTGTGTATCAGTTCTTCTGTACATTTAGAGTCAGATGAAATAAGACTTTGATTAGCAGAGCGACTGGCAACCTCAGGATAAAACAGCCATTTTTGGTTTCTTCTACCACCAGGAAAGTATCTAAAGAAATGTATTTCACTCATCAGGATGGTCTCGGAATCATCACTGTTTGGGCTGTTGCTTTGTTTCCACTTCAGAGGTGATATTAATTTTACATCTTTCCTCCAATATCATGTAACAATATGAACTCTAAAAACATCAGTTCCATAGAGACAGAGTGTAGAGCTATGGTTGCTAGAGGCTGGGACAGGTGTGGAGAATTTTTATCAAAGGGCACAGACTTTCTGTTATAAGTTCTGACCACCAATGTAGACCACGGTTCTTATAACTATCACTGATGATCTACACATGGCATTGCTAGTTTTTATGGGTTCTCACTATACACTCAGCAAAGCTAACCCTGTGAGGTGATTGGTAGTAGTTTTATAAAGTGCTTGTGTTAGCCAGCTTTTGCCTCTGTGACAAATGTCAAGAGACAATTTAGGGGGAGATTTATTTTGGTTTACAGGTTTAGAAGTTTAAGCCTGAGGTTGGTGGATTCGACTGCTTTGTGTCTGTGGTCATGTAGAACATGATGGTATCTGGAGATTGACAGCAGAAGTCACTCACTTACATGGCAGCCAGGAAGTACAAAATATTCAGACTTCATTTGGTGACCTATTTTATCCAAGTAAGCACCATGTCCTATGCATCTACCACCTTCCAATAATGCCATCAGATTATTGTGGGTTTAATTGGTCATAGAAGTCACAACACCAAAGTTATTCCAGCTCATATCTTAATCCTTTACCTGGAAACCAAGCCTTGAACACACAGATCCAATCACGACAGTATGCACACATCAAAGCTTCATGGTGGACATTGCTCATGCTTCCATGTTACCATGACCTCATGGTTATTTGACGGTGTGTTTGAGTGCCTAACATGTTAAATCCATTGTAAAACATTTAAAAGGTGTTTGTAGCTATTTTAACTACAGTTTCAATTTCTCTTTAATTATACATTTTTCTTTTCTCCTGGAGGCACTTCATATTCTCAGATTAGGATTGACCAAGGCCATCCTTTGAAGGCGTAAGTCATAAATAATGCCACACCAGTTTGGAATTATGATTAATAGGGTGGTATTTATTTAAAGGGGAAAAAAACTTACAGATAACCGTCCCAGACAACAGCCCTCTGCTCGCAATCAGGAAGAAGTCTAGTAGCTCGAACTGGAGCAGGAAGCAAAGAAAGCAGAAGGGAAGTAGCCGCTGTTTTAAAGGGAGAGAGACCATGCCCCTATGGACTGGTATCTCAGTGGCTATTGGCTGGAGGAGCAGAAGGACCTCCCGCAACAATCCTTCATGCCCTGATGTCCACAACCACCACTAGAGTTTCTTCTCTGCCTTTTCTTAAAATTTCCCAGGAGACTTTTCAGACTTCCTTGTATATGGAATTGAGCTTTTATTTTGATAAGGCTACTGTTTAGGAAACTCGTTTCAATCCTCTAGGCAATGGTGTTGATTATCAGGGCCTCTGGAAGCTTGTTCAAGCATGCTGACTTGTGTCTCTTTACTGGTGTCATTCATGTCTATACATCAGCATCTATTTCCATATCTGTCTCTAGTATCCAGAAAATCTAGATGATAAGTAGATACATGACTATGTAGACATATTTATTTACCACGATGTGGATTCTATTCCTATTTATCATCTGCGATTGGCTTAAGTGTTTCTCTCAAATTTAGAAGCTGATTTTTTGTGCCTCCTTCTTCCTTTACTTTATCTTCTGACTTTGAGCTGCCCTTTTAGGCAAAGAAAACTTTTTCGAAAGTCCTGTTTTCTAATTTGCATTTATTTATTATTTATTGTCTTATAGTAAGGATCTACACTTTTCCTACTGCACACAATTAAGCCTCTTCTTTCATAGTTTTGTCTGCAACTCAAGGGTATGAACTGGTCAAAGCAAGCCATGCTTTGTGCCGGTACAGGATTTCTGAGAATTTTAATTGTGCAGGTTGGTGGCTATGGCAGAGTACTTTATTTTAAGCATTGTGACCCATGACTTTCTTCTACACTGTGGATGCATAATTAAGAGACAATTTACATGCAACATGGAGATGGTGCTCTTTTGGGGGAATGTATGAGGACCAGGGGGATTGAGTGCACAGTAAAATGTAAAATAATCTCAATATATTTTACATATGATTATGCTTTAGATACACTGGCTTAGACAAAATATGTCATTAATTCTGTCGGCTTCTGTGTTCTTTCTTGATGCGTCTCCTGGACCATTGTTAACTAAAGACCTTTCTCTGCCCCTATTTCCATTGCCGGTGCTGTTCTGGACTTTGTAACCAGTTGAGAGATTCTTTTCATTCTCTGGAGTTCTCACTGTGATGGGCTGTCATAGAAGGGTTTTGAGCAGCAGAAGTTATGTGGAGACATCTGCTCTGGTTGCTAGAGCAAAGGGTCCCAGAGTGGACTTCTGACATGGTTGGAGAGAAGAGGCTGGTATAGGCAAGGACTTGGTGGCTGATGAGGTGGGTGGTCCTGGAGCCTTTGAAGAGTCATCAGCTTTGGGTCCATGCTGAAAGTGCTTGTTGAAGGACCTGGAGTTTCCATAAAACTTTACATGTAAGAACTATCTCTCCAATTCTTTTTTCTTTTTGTGAACCTAAGAGAACTGTTTGTTCTCTTTAGCTCTTTTCCATTGAGACTGGGAGTGGATCTCAGTGGGAAATACCTTGATGGGCTGACTGTTACAGAATGCTTGTCTGAAGTACTATTGAAATAGGTACTCATCATAGTCATGTGACTTTAGAGAGATTGCCTGTGTATATATGAGTGTGTGTATGTATGTGTGTGTATGAGTGCGTGTATGAATGTGTTTGTGCATATATGTGCGTGTTTGTATGTATTTTGCACAAGTATCTGTGTGTATGCATATGAGTGTGTATGCATACATGTGTGTCTCTGTGCATATGAGAATGTGTGTGTGTGTATACACTTGCTTCCTATATGTAAAGGCCTTTAGGTTCTATGTGGCCAGGGGTTTATCTGCCTCTGCTCACCATGTCCCCTCTTGCTCTCATGGAGTTTCTTATCAAGCTGATGATGAACAGGCAATTGTGTGAACAAGTGATAAAGGAACTATGAAGTCACTCCTACTCTAGACACCCCATTCCAATAGTTACCACTGAACAAAGGGCATGGGAGGGTATATTTTACACCAGGACTTAGTTCTCCCAGGGACCGCCCTTTCTTAACCAGCTCCTCTTTCTCCAGAGTGCTTCTGATTGTACAAGACACTCCACTCCACTCACACTGAATCACATCTGCAGTAAATCTAATCTCCTGACCTCATAGTTTACGTCTGTAGATGCTGAAAACAAACTCCTCTGAGTGGTTTGGGTTAATAGTAGCGTGGAACATTTTTGTTTAGAAAGAACCAAACCTGACCAACATTTCATCTGGAAGAGCTGAGGATGGATTTAGGTTTTTGATGTCTCCCACCTACCAAGAGAGGGAGCAGTGGGCTCCCCTCCTGCTACCTCTGTAGTTGGCTGGCTCTCCAGTCTAAAGGAATAAGTGAAGTATTATTTTTCAAAATTTTCATCTCTACAGGGAAATACGTTTTTAAAAAGTATATATAACAGCTTAGTTCTCATTTTTGTTACTGTCTGTCAGTCTGGGGCCACTCAGACATCCATACCACATAGTGCTCCTCACTCTATTGTTTGGAACTCAAGGTTCAATGGAAAATAAAACACAAACAACTTTTCACCACTAGGCTCAAGGGTCAGTGTCTGGAGATTACCAAGAGACCAAAGCAGATCTCATTACATCTATCCACATGGGGTTTGGCAGAGAAATGCAGGCCACTAGAATTCAGGGTTGTGTTTAGGAGGAGGCTGCTTGTTTGTCCCGCCCGTCCAGAACGAAAATAACCACACAGAAACTATATCATTTTTTTCAATAAAATACCAAGTTTATTCAAATATATTGTTATACTTAATCCAGAATTTCCAAATGTGTTTTTTAAATTGTACAATCTCAACCTCATGGTAAAGATATAAAACAGTAAGTATATAGTATATAGTAACTTATAAGTATAAGTATATAGAAAACATGGTTGCGCACTAAAAATTGTCAATCCTTTAAGGTGATTCTCAGCATCTGCTTGTTTGGGTTGGAACGCAAGTTTCGGTTACTAACACCAGTCTTGGCCTGCCCCAGTTCTTAAAGCATGATAAACACTGATGAGATGTCCTCCCTCCTTATGGGACACTGCATTACTGTGGTTTCCTGCTCATCTGTACAAAGACGTTAGTAGCCCCTTGAAAAATGTCTTAACAAATATTCTTTGCTAGTATTTACATTTTAAAATAGGACTTTGTGTGACCTATGTGTCTGTTAAAAACTGAACACTGTATCCCTTCACCTCCACTGTCTTCCAAATGGCCTCAGTAGGCAACAGTTAATGCCGGATAAAATCTGATCTGTTAAGTGGACCTAATGATTTAATCTTAGTGGTAAACTTGTTTTGTTTTGCTTTGCATACAGTATCCTGCTGGCATGTATGCCTACATGCCAGAAGAGGGCACCAGATGTCATATATTGTCTTGAATTGAACGCAGAACCTCTGGAAGAGCAGTCAGTGCTCTCTCTGAGCTCTCTCTCTCCAAGCCCTAATGATAAACTTCTAAGCATTTTAACCTTGACGTTAACACAGCTTTATAATGGATCTAGGACCTAAAGTATTTTGTAATCTGACCTTTGAAATAAGATTCCCAGAGCTAGAGATTCAAGAATAGCCCATTTGGGTGTTTTAATGACAGTGAACCAAAGTTTGCTGCAGACATCATGCTAGTCCTTGTTAAGGAAATTAAAAGTTGCCTTAATGAGTTCTTTTAAGATTATCTAATTATGGAAGCTCATACTCATAATTCCCAGTACTTGGGCTGTAGAGTGAGACCATTTTAAGATACAGTTTACATGAATTCTATTAAATGAATCCCATCAACATGATTGTCATAATATACATGTTTCGTATGGTTTTTATGTAAGAACACGACTAAAACACTACAAAAGCAAAATATATACTTGTTTTGCTTTCTGGTGCTGGAGACAAGGCAAGAGCTCTGCCTTTTTTGACCTTTTTGTTTGGTTTTTAGGAATGTCAATAAGATATCCATCCAGACTGACCCTGACTTAAGAAATTCTCTAGCCATTAAGCTCAGATCCTAAACACAAAGTTTATATAACATAAGTACTAGACGCTTGCTTTATCCAAAAGCTCAAGCTCTATTTGGAATGAATGTTCTTTATTTACGTTTGACCAAAAAGATGTTTAAGCAATCCTAGCTTGCATTTTTAAGCTTTTCCCACCTCCATCTACACACTGAAAAACTTCAAATCACATCAAAATAGATATGTGGATCACGAATCTTGTCATTTTTTTCTAATCTAATATCTACATATACTAAGAACTGCAAAACTACTGTAGCATGTTATAGTAAAAGAAAGAAATGCTTGTTAGATTATTTAAAACTTTGACTATCAAGCAAATAAAATATTCAAATCAAAAATTATAATTTTCTAATTTGATTTGAATCATCTTTCAGATAATGTATCATTTCTGGCACCATTTCTATCCAACCATGGAAGGTTTACCATATTTCTATGTAAGTTTGGTACTTTTGCTACCCAACTTCCATCTAGCAATGGTTAGCTTCTGCTAAACAGGAGAAGCCCACTTAAAACTGTTCATTCGGGTTTTCAGCGAGAAACTATTTTTCCACATGATTTCCTTTAACAAATATAAAATGTAGCATGCCATATTTTTTAAGTCATTTAAGTTATTAGATAAACTTTGGTAAGCAGACAAAGAGACTTCAGAGAAACATTTTAAAGTGATTTCATTTAGGAAGGTGATTATGTGTTGGTTAAAAAAGAGTATCAACATTAATATCACTGAAGTCAGTGAAACCACAGCAATATTTAAAATGTTAAAGAATTCAAGTTCTTTTTTATGCTTGTCAGGCCAGGAACTTGGCATCCGTTTTGAAGAAATTCTCATTTCAGGAGTGGCAGCCTTCTTGATATGTCTAATTTCTGTTCTGCTCCGCTCTTCCTTTAATACTCTCCTTCCTTGGGGACACATCTCAACAGGCTGGACCTCGGGGAGTGGTCTCCGTTTCAACATGTGCACACTCTGGCGGACATCATCAATTTTTTCCAGGAATTTAAGTGGAGCCTCGTCTTGTAAAGATGTGGTCACTGCTATTAACTCCAGCTGCTGTTCTCTGATCTCCTTCGCCTTTTCAATCTGCGGAGTGTATTCTCGATTGATCAGCTGGCCAACGTCACGGAGAGCTGCCAAAAACAATTTCTTTTTCTGTTCTAATGCATCACTAAGCTCCTTGAAATACTGAAGAACAAATTCCTTATCACCTTGAATCATTTTTTCAGAATGACACTTCTGTTCTTCAAGCTTTTCAGTAAGACGGGTGATGTCTGTCCAGTGTGTGTCGGTTAACTGTTTAAACAGCTTCTGAGGTGTATCCTTTTCTTTCAGATAGAGATTCTGAAGGTCATCTATAGGATGACCATGATGTTGGCCTATAGTAAGACAATGGCCACCAACTAATTTTTTATCTAGTAGGCAATAAACATTTAATAGCTGCCTGTAGTGTTCAGGGCAGGTGACAACATCTGGGTGGTCTTCTTGCAGGTACTTTTCAATAATTGCTCTCAATGCAAAATTTACAGGTAAGGATTCTATACCAGTTAAAGAAATTTCAATAATCCTTCTGCAGTTAGGACACTTGAATGGAATTCGCAAAGGTCTCCATAACAAAGAGTTTCTAGTTGCCTGAAGAACATTTTCCAGACAATTTCTACAAAACGTATGAGAGCATTTTGGGTAAAGCTGTGGATGGGAAAAAACAAGTGTTTGCACAAAGTTGGAGCCATCTCAAATACAAGGCTACTCTGTGTTTGGTAGGGGAAGGAAGAAAGATTACCTTCATGACTGGGGTTTGCCGTGGTAAATGTACATTCTCTTTGCTAAAGGGAAGTCTATGATCTATGGCCTCCTAAACCGTCTTTCTTACATAGTAAGTAGCTATGTGTCAGATGGTAGATTTATAGTGGCTTTTCTGATCCCATGAGGGGATTATACTCATGGCTCCTGTAGGAACTTTAGAGAGCTAATGTTGGACAGACAGTCCCCCCTATTATTTTGTCTCCTGGGCCTTAGCTTTTTAGGGATTCCATCTGAGTCCTTGTAGTAATTGTCATAGGGTTGCTGTGATGAAGTACCATTAGCAAAAAGCAAACTAGGGAGGAAGGGGTTTATTTCAGCTTACACTTTCATATTCCTGTTCTCAGGACAGGAACTCAAGTAGGGCAGGATCCTGGAGGCAGGAGCTGATGCAAAGGACATGGAGGGGTGCTGCTTCCTGGCTTGCTCCCCATGGCTTGCTCTGCCTGTTTTCCTATGGAACCCAGGACCACCAGCCCAGAGACAGTAGCTCCCACAGTGGGCTGGGCCCTACCCCATCAATTACTAATTAAGAAAATGCCTTACAGCTAGATCTTATGGGGGCATCTTAATCAAGTTCCCCTCCTTTCAGATAGCTTCAGCTTGTGTCAAATTGGCAAAAGACTGGTCAGCAGTCTTCACTCATTTTAAGTCAGACTCCTGCCAGCTCCCTGCAGCTCCTGGGATCACATTGATTGGATGGTTCACTGTGCTTGGGAACTGTGCAGCCTTTGGATGCCCAATGGCCCTCTCTGTGAGCTTGCTTCATTGTCTACTCTCCCATTGGGCCTGGGTCATGTGGTGTCCAGTGATCCATCTCATTGCTGTGGTCTCCTTTCTGGACCTCCTCTTCTGTATTCCTCATCTCCCCAGTCCTTCTGATCTTTGTTGAAAGAATTCTGATGGGATGCATAGAAAACAGGTAGAATTCAGGGTGGAGGAGGGAGGGGCACTCACAAGGGGTGAGCGTGAAGAGCAGCCAAAGGGAGCAAGAAAGAGACGCACAATGGGATGAGATGGTCACACCAGCCTACATGTTAGGCAGGTTTTATACCATGTCTAAATTCTCTAGAACAGACAGCATCCCCTGAAGGGATTGTCCTGTCCAGGTGTTTACTAGGCCTGTTTGCATTGGGAAAGCACTGCTGTGGGACAATGGTCTGTACCCTGTCAATTGCATTTTAATAAAATGCTGGTTGGCCAGTAGCCAGGCAGGAAGTATAGGAGGGGCAACCATTCAGGAAGTAGAGGCAGGGTAATGAGAACAGGAGAATTCTGGGAGATGAAACGGTCAGTCTTCAGTCATCACCCCAGACACAGAGGAAGCCAAACAGAGCAAGCAAGATGTGACTGCCCTGCCAAAAAATGTACCAATCCACGTGGCTAACACAGATAAGTATTATGGGCTTATATAACTTATAAGAATTAATAAGAAGCCTGAGCTACTAGGCCAGCCAGTTTATGATTAATGTAGACCTCTGTGTGTTTATTTGGGACTAAATGGCTGTGGGACCTGGTGGGATGGAAGCCCTTGATCTAAAGCAGAGTCTCTGGCTGGCTAGTTACTAATCTAATGATCTTCTAGGAAGCTCAGAAGATCCTGTCTCCACTCCAAGATGCGATTCATATCCCATTCCTTTGAGTAACACTCACAGTCCTTCCTGCCAACTGTGAGCCCTGGTTGTGCCAGCGTCGAGCTAACTACCTAACAAACTAAGCTTCAAAGTCCAACGGAGTTTTCCTCCAGAGATGGAGGCTTCCGAGATGACTTTGATGGGAGTTTCTCCAAGTTATTATTATGTGTACTCCATAGGTCCCTGAAGGAAAAAACTTGCCTGTGTTTATTTTCTCCTAGTCCCTGGGGTATGTAGTGGCTCTTATACAGGGCCTGGGAACTTGGAACACAGTGAATAGAACCCAGTGCAGCTTTGGGAGTACTCAGTCTGTCTTCAGATTGGCCAGGGCGAAGAAACTGTTTTTCTCTGGTTCCTGTGGTTGAGGAAAATATAAATGAATAAAGTCATGTGAAGATGGAGATTTTTTGCTTTGATTATTTAGAACTGAATTAAGAAGAACAATGCAAATTTGGTGGATTATTACTGCAAGATAAATCAGTCAGTGTCTAATATTAAGTTACATTAAAACAAATTGTATTTTTTACTGACAGCCGTTTACAGAAGAGCCACATAAATAATTTAATCTAGAAGAGAGGACCATTGAATAGAGTGGATGCTTAAGTTAATTTGCTGCTAGACTATATCTGTCCTAAAACCTTACCTTTGCCCCATAGTTAGACAGGTCCTAGTTTTGAAAACTTCTAAGCCAATTCCCAGCGAAACATTAGATAAAACTGCCAAGTTCCTCAATGCATAGATTTGGATAACAAATATCTTATTAGCTTAACTGGAACTTTTAGAAACACATTTTTTTTTTCTGGATTCACCTGAAGGCCTATTGGGATATCTTGATTGACATTATTGCAGGTTTTAATTGGCTACAAGTCAGTAATTTTCCTTGACAAGGTAGGAAGGTAATGTGTATGCCATTCTGGAATGCAAAGTGACAATTGTTCTGCTATCCCTCTGCTCAAGTCAGCAGTTCCCTTCTAGAACAATGGGTATTCAAGTATCCAACTGTAAGAGGACCTGGATGATGTGATATCCAGCTGCAAGTAGATGTGGGTAGACTAGAATGATTAGGCTTGGGTTAACAGCAGATTCTTAGCAGCACTGGGTAGGTGAGGGCATTGAAGAGTAGACTGGAAGGCTTAGTTTTTCCCATCATATGTTTAAGTATGTAATAAATACTTTTGACCGTACAGAGCCTCAGACATTGTAACAACCTAAAGACACCAAGTGAAAATGTATTTATAAGAAATACATTGAGGGGAAATATATATTAATGAAGATAAATTAATAGATAGATGACATCAGGAGTGTTTGTAGGGATATGAATTTTGGCAGCACTTTGGGTATTCTGAAAATGCTCTTTATCTTAGTGCCATAGAAGAACCATATCCAAAGGTTTATTCTAGTCTACACTCACGGCTTTGAGCCTGAACAACGCTAGTCATACTTAAACTGAGAACGGGGAGAAGGTTGGGAATGTAGCTCAAACGGAGAGCAGTTGCCTAGCATTCATGAGGTTTCATCTCTAACACTGGGGGTGGGGTAAAAAGAAACACACGAAAGAAATTTCACTCAGCTCCAGGAGCCAAGGCACTCATTTTTAATAATAACGCTAGCGGAGGCAGCTTGTACTGATGATCGCCTGCTAAAGAACACGCCAGTTTCCCCCATTCTCCATTATGTCTTGGTCACAGCTCTAAGTCCTGGCAGTATCGGCCTCTCTGTGAGTGCCTAGGTCAGCATGATGCTGCTCACAGATCCAGTCAGCTGCAATGCCACTTTTTTAATCTTTATAAGGATTCTTGTTTCTTTGAAAGAAAAACAAACAAACAAACAAATTTTTCAAATGAAAACCATTAAATTGGCTTTGGCTTACATTGAAGGCAACTGTTTGGATGAAACGGAGCAAGTGGGTGCGCCATCTGTCTGCTAAGGAAGAAGGGCACCTCAGGGACTTTTTTCAGCCACCATGGTTTGAGACTGCCAAGGCTGAGGGTGTCAGGAAGGTCAGAGATTCCTCACCCAACACTCCTACTTTGACTTTTTTGAGGGAGATAATGAGTTTAGTTCCACCAAAACCACTAGTCCGATCTATTCCTTGACATGCAAAGACAAAAACACAAAACCCAAAACAAAGCAAACAAAAAACTCTTAGGCTCCCACTCTATGTTGAATGGAATCAAGCTAAGTATTTTTGTCAAATATTGTATAATGGGGGTCTTTTGCAGTTTTTATGTCTCAATCCTGTTTTTATAAAACTTGCACCGGGGACCAAACAAAGAAAGATCTTTGCAATGAAACCTAAATATATTAAATCTGTTGTGTATTTTCTAAGTTACAAGCGGGAGAATGTTGGGAATTAGAACAAAGCTTGGGCCGCGTTTTCTTTTCTTTCTTAAGAATGAGACAGGGAATTGCTTTTGCTTTTATTTGGGAAGTTTTGGAACTTACCCAGGTGGTTAACTCCCTGTTTTCAGAAACATAACTGTACTGTTTCTGCTTTATCTCTCATTTTCTATGAAGTTCTCAAGGTTCTTGTTGTTCTCATCTATTGCTGAGTTTTAGCTGTCCTCCGAGGCTCAGGGAAAAGTGATTGAGCATTTGTTCCAGCAAACAGAAAGCCCAATGAACAACCCAGTGTTTGAATTTCAAATAGGAGTGATTTTTTCAAAAAAAAATAAATAGAACAATAGCCATGAGATTTTAAAATTCTTTAATGTTAAGTAGTTTGTATTCTAAGTTTGCAAAGACAGTTTTGTAGTGGGTAAAAACTTTTTACATTTGAAAACTCACATTGGGTTGTAGATGGGTCACTGCTGAATGTTCTCCATAAAACAATGAGCACGGGGCAACAGATCAGCTTAAACAGATGCAACTGAGTTGAATGTGGTGGTGTACACTTTTAATCCCAGCACTGGGGAGGCAGAGGCAGGAGGATCTCTGTGAGTTCGAGGCCAACCTGGTCTACAGATCAAGTTCTAGGACAGGCTACAAAGCTACAGCGGAGCCCTGTCTTGAAAAAAAAGTCAAATGAACAAACAACAACAATGACAAAAATTAGATGCAACTTAGACAGAGAGTAGATATTAAAGTTTAGGCGGTTGGGTATGGAGTTGTGTAGTTGAATCACGAGAGATGATAAGAAGTTTAAAAATCCAGTTGACAGTCTAGGAAAGAGAAAGGATGTCCTGTAGTCAACGACTTTGAGACCATTGGCTAACAGATGTGTTAAAACCTGTCTTGGTTGAGGTCACAAGGAACAGTAATGTTATTTTAACAAGGAGCTCTTTGAGCTTCTCTGT